GGGGGGGCTATTATGGCCATACATGTTACATGGTGAACAGCTATAGTGCTTTCAAAATCTCATGGGAGCTTCTTGTAAAATAAATTAGTACATTTATAGTCCCAAAAAACATTGATGTGTGCAAGGAAACCTAAAGCGTACGCAGTCTCAGTACAAATTGCACACAAACAGTTAATTATTAGATGTCAAACAGCGTGGCTCCATGGTTAAAACGTTGATACGTCAAGTGTGGCATAACCACTAACTGGACACAGCCATGCTATACTGAGTTTCAAATCCTCCTTGCTCTCAGAAAATGTATAAATGTACTCCAGAGAACTTTAAACAAAATCCTGTGGCACAGTATATTGTTCAACTTGCCACTGCAAACAATATAAAATTTTTACAAGGAGAAAATTGAAGACTTGATGCCTGGATAGACATCTACATACACATATTGATACAAACTGTGACTAAGTGGGAAACGATGGCTATAATCGTTATAACCAACAAACTGTTCCTCACAGCGCTTTAATTCTCCACCAAACTTAAAAGATGATTAAGGCACAGCTTAAGGTAGGTTAGTTCGATACCTAGATTGTCGATGTTTACTTACCCTCCATTTTCCAAAATGTCATGTCGTTTAACCAAAGACACATACATGCGTAAATTGTCTTAAACAGTTTCGCGTGACGAAGAGAAGGGCAACATTTATGCAACTGCAGCGTTTGCGATATTTCTTGACTTTTGCAGACTTTCGGCTTCTTGAAAATTGAGCCCAATCTGCTTCTTCTCGCGCTGCCAACTCTACCAAGTTAAACCATAGTCGCAACCTACAATGGGTTAATGTTTTACACCAATTAAATAATCATGACACTTAAATAAATAATAGAAAGCTTATTTCACGAAGTATCTGATGGAAATTGTAAAACGATTCGGCCACTTTACTACAAGGCTTCACAACTTTTTGTTGCCTACACCATTGATCAGCTGATACATACTTTTAGCGCTGCGGTTTGTAGTAAACTGACAGAAGCCGACTTGTTGGATCACTGTAACACATTGTTGCTTAAATTTTATGATGATATGAGGAAAAGCATTGGCCAAGTGGTTGCAGGAAGTTGGTTTGTCGTTCCTCTTGCAGTATGAAATCAATGAAATCCCGAAATATCCCTGAAGATGGTGTTTCTGTGCGTGAACGTCAACAGGTCGTTGAACTGGTCGAGATGGAGGTGGGTGATGTCACTATAGTTTGGTTACGTCTGTCAATTTAGTTTAGCAAGGCCCATTTACTTTTGATCTCCCAGATGTTAAGGTTAGTTATGCATTGGGCGTTTCTGAAGCTGTCCATGGAATCCAATTATTGTTTGAAGGGGACATCTATGCTTCTATTAATAAATAATAATAATTAATATTTGTTTTCAAAAGCAGGCTTTACCAAGTAACATAATGTGTGACACTTTTGAAGAATTGTTTTTTTTTCTCATAGAAACATTTTGTGATGAAGTCTTGGTTTCCTAACTATTGTGGTATAATATGTAGTGTCTGTTTCAGAAAGGTGCCGCTCTAAAGAATAGTACTTCATGTGCTGATGCCAGGAATTTAAATCCAAGAATAATGCGTAAGAGTTTGAGCATGGAAAAGCTGCAACCTAATAGCCACATTACTTACATTCCGTCATCAGATAACATTGCAATGAAACAGTGTACGTATATCTTCTGATCCAATCCTGTATAATTTTATTGATTGACAATTTTTATGATTCATTGTTTTGGTTCTTTAATTAAATAGTGAGTATAGATCGTATCTATTTTGGATCCAACACTGCAGAAGTAGACATTGATTCATCGCCGGAAATAGAAAATCTGTCTCGTCAGACATCACATAGCTCGGAGCAATCATATTCTTCAGAAAATGAGAATTTTGAGAATACTCAGGGTGTGTATTAATAAAACTGCTGTGCTATACATCTTGCCATGATTATACATATAATTTACTTTATCATTTTGTTTTTAACAACCAGCTAAAAAACATCCACACATTAGATTTGCATATTCTGAATTCGAAGGTGGCCGGTATGTGCCAAACAAATCCCCCTCTCGGTTCAGTAATTCTCACAGTTCATTTGATAATCTGGATGATTCCTTTTTAAAGCAAATGTATGTACCATAAATTAAGAAAAATAATGTTTTAAAATTATATTGTCATGCAACAGTGTTTCTTACACTATACTCCCATCGTTTCAGTGATAATACACGACGTGATGCTGTCATGACCTTATCTCAAAAAAGAGAAAAAAAGGCTGAGCTAGTTAGGAAGATAAGTGAAAGGTCACAAGATGAAACTATTGGGATCTGTAAACTGACCCGGTATAATTTAAGCATGTCATTTCAGAAAGTAAGTGGTATTTTTATCTATCTATCTTATTTTTAATGCTTTTGACATTTTTATTTATTTTATCATCTTTTTACCTTATTTAGTTTAAAGAAGCCTTTGGAAGTGTATCTTATACATTAGAACTATGGTATAGCAGTCTAAAACTAATTGAAGGACATTTTGGTAGTGGTGTTGCATCCTACTTTAGATTTCTACGATGGCTATTTTTGTTAAACCTCACAACACTAATCATCAGGTGATTGCTAAAAAAAAAAAGAAAAAAAAAGTCCCCCTTAGTTAACATTTTTGAAACTAACCCTTTTACCCTGTAAATTTTTCTTTCAGCTTCAGCTTTTTGATTTTACCTCAGATGCTTTTGCGCTTTTATCTTAACTTTAATGAGGTGCCAGAGGTTGCAAAAAATGGTGGTACCTACTTTGAGAAAACTTTTTTTGATATTGCAGGTTTGTCTTTATCCCCCTTTACTTCTGCTTCAATGTTGTAATACCTTTCACAATTTACCTGCACTTTTCCAGACTCTAATGGTACTCTTCCACCACCTCTTACTGCTGCTTCTCTTATTCAAAGGAGCAATCCATATCATGAAAATGAAAATTTTAGTTGGACTGATATTTTTACAGGAGAGGTACAGCATAAATATTTTTGCTATAAGTCGATTTCTTTGCTTATGCTTGGTCTACCATGAGTTGTGTCAAAAAAGTAAATCAGAGGTCATAGTTGAATGTATCCAACTTTGCGTAACCTACTGATCACTATTGACCTAAGATACTTTTGATGATAAACAATACATTGTAGCCTAGATGTCTTTGTAAACTGACACTCATTGTGTACCTTTTATTCAAACTCCTCCTTTAGGGCTTTCTTACAAACACAGCAATGTACTATGGGTTTTATAAAGCAGGCACTGTTGAACTCTTTGAGAGTTACCTCTATGATGTGCCAAATGCTTACTTTTTTACCATGTCTATTTGCTACGTCATTATTCTAATAGCTGTCTCAATGAGGTGAGGATAGTACCTCTTTTGCAATGCACTACCAAAAGTTAAGACAATATCAGAAATATTGAAACTGTTTATTTTCCAGTATGGCATCATCATATCGTAAGACCTTCATTGAAACTAGAGGAGCTCAAATGGGCAGCCTTTCTCTGAAACTATTTTGCGGATGGGATTTTGGGATTGCTACAGAAGAAGCTGCCTCTCTGAATAGAAAACGTTTGCAGAATGAAATAAAGGTAATATCCGTTCTGCCTCCTAATTTGATGTGCTGCTCTTCAAATGTTCAGGCTTTGTGTCCTCTACTGTTGCAGGAAGCACTAAACGAAATTGAGTTCCAGAGCCGAGTGTCATCTTGTCTCTCACGTTTTACGAATGTAACTGTTCAACTAGCTTTGAACATACTGTTTTTCTGTCTAATGGGTGGAATAGCTGTACTAATGTGGGACCTGCTGGGTAGACACTCAGCACATCTCTCCAGTAAATCTGCTGGTGGTAGTGGTAATACCATGATAATGGCAGTGATTACTTCTGTGATAATGAATGTACTACCCATTTGTTTCTCTTGGATTGTGAGGTAACTATATTTAACAGATGAGTGATTGTTACCTGCTTATTAATGACAATGCATAACGTTTTATGAACTGTGTTTGGCAATAGGTATGAAGATTATAAAAATCCTCGGACAGCGCTGTTTGTTACATTACTTCGAACTTTCCTCTTGAATATTATAGTCATTGGTACTACTGCAGTATTTTGGTTGACCCACTCACAAGAGGTACTTTTAAAAATTCTAATTCTATTAAGGTAATATACTCAATGATTTAGTCATTGAATGACACCTTGTATGTTTACAGTGCTGGGAAACTGCCCTTGGTCAGGAAGTTTATCGTCTGTTTGTTATAGACTTCTTAATTTCAATTTTATTAATGGGACTTGTTGAGACTGTGTGGTCTTGTATTCAAAGGTAAGACATTGATTTCAGTGCGCCTTATTTGCTCTTAAAACATGTATTCATACAATGTATTTTTTCCACCCTTAGAAAGTTTTGGAAAGAACATGGACCACCTGAGTTTGATATTGCCTGGAATACTTTAAATCTAATTTATAATGAAACACTCTTTTTAGTAGGATTTTACTTTAGTCCATGGCTTTCTGCTGTAATAGTTATCAAACTATTCATCACATTTTACATAAAGAAGGTATGGTGTCTACCTATCAACACAGATGCATATTTTTTAAAAAGAATTTCTTTGTTATATTTGATAGCTGTTGTTGAGACTTTACATTTTTATTCCATTTAGGCAGGAGCCCTTTGTAACTGCCAACCACCAAGAAAGTCTTGGCGTGCCGCTCAAACTCATACTTTGTTTTTGATTCTCACCTTCATAGCTCTCTTGGGAGTATTTTTAGTATTTGGATACATTATATTCAGGTGATGGTTTTACCTGAATTATTTCTGCTTACCAGTTATATAGTTGTTCTTTTTTTGCCATCTTTTTTGAACCATGTTTTGAAACTTTTGTAGGGTTTCACCTTCGCAATGTGGTCCATTTAGTGGCTATTCCTACATGTATGAAGCTATTCTGAACAGAATATTCCAACTGAAAAAAGATAATTTGTTCTGGCAAGCCGTCATGTACTTGGCGAAACCAGGAGTAGTTGGAGGAATTCTTATTGCTATGAGGTAGGTCATTTTAAAATTTTTAGAGATTTGTAAACTTCTTCTATTTTTTTTTTTGTTTCTACTTACTGGTATGTGTGTGATGTTCAATCATAGTATAGCAACTTACATTCTAAGAGCAAAGGCACATGCCCATGCTATTGAGGCTGACATTTTAAATAATATGCTCGTAAATGAAACAAAAGATAAAGCATTTCTCTTCAAATACATTAAAATAGTAGGTGAGTCAAGGTTTACAAATAATATCTTACATTGTAGTTTTAAGTCTTAAAGGTCATATATATTTTGTTGACGAATATTGCAATTATCTTACAGAAGAAATGAATAAAAAAAAAATATCTCCTGCAGTATCTAACTGTAGCCCATTTCACACTCCATTAGCTGAGAGGGTAAGTTAGTTATTGATCTTCTGTTGTTTCCTGCAGAAATGCAGCTGCACATTTAAGCAGTGTTTTCATGGTTTTTATTTGGTGTTTTCAGAGGCTGCTAAAGAGGGCTTCAAAGGAAAGGCAGTCATTTCTTGTGACCCCTAGGAAAGGTAATTAAATTAAGACTTTATTTGGCTTCTGACTTTTTTTTCTGAACATATGTATGTTCATATTTGTGCATTTCATAACTCAGGTGCTAAAAACTTGATTGAGCAAAAGAAGTTTCATTCCACTGGCCATATTACACAAACAGGATGGAGTTTCAGGCGCCCTAATGTGAGAACAAATGACTCTGATGAACCAAGCACCAGTTCAGGTAATAGTGGACATTAAAAAAATGATGTGGTGTTTAAAAAAAAGGTTCATACAGACACAGTTTTAAAAATTTTTGTTCTCTTAAATTACAGGTGGCAGTACTAGCAGGACCACTTGCGAAATTTCAGATCCAGAACGGTAGCCCTTATAGTACCACTTCAGTATCTTTTTCTCTGGAATGTGATTTTTAGTCATTTAATAGAATGTTACCAAAATACGATTTCTTGAATGTGATATTAATAAGGTTTAATAAATAGTAAACATCTTTAAAGTATGAGGTTATGAAGGGTTTAATTTTTTTTTTATCAGAATCTACTGTAATTGCTGGATTAGAGTGCTCAGAGATGCTGCAACAGTTTAACAAATGCACCCAACTCTAGAGTTGCAGGCAAAGCACTGCAGAGGGTAAAAATCCACCAGTACACTTCACAATTCCATACATCAAATAAGAAGTGAGCAAGTAGAACTGTTGCACTGGAATGTGCTGCAATTGCTGCTCCAAATTGAGGAAAATTATGGTAATAATAGATGTTCAATAACAACACATGTAGCAATGAGCTTCTGGAAAGGATACATATTAAACTGATGAATGGCATAAAAAAAGAGACACCAGACAAAAAGCCTATGAGCTCCAAGCCAATGAAAGCAATAGCAAGGCTGAGTCCTACAGTCATCCTAGAAAAAATGTATGAACGCCGAGTTACAATATATCAACAACCTACTGCATGCTGAAAAATACACTTGTTTAAAATAAAATCTTACTCGTAAGCCTTAGCGTTGAAGTCGTTGACTGTGTGGTCAACAGGTAAACTGGCTTTAACATTTTCATCCTGGAATTTAAAATAAATAAATTCAACTCACATATGACACCAATTTAATAATTTACTGATGCTTCTTTATGCTACTCACCTTTGCCCAAAGTGCAATCACAGCTATTGTAAAATGAGCAATTAGAGTTAGGAATCTGGTGGGCACAAGTCGATTTATGGAAGACGTGACCATGTTCGGAAGGGTTAAAAACTCTGGTTAAACCAGACATGTCAAATGTAATGTGATTTGTTTACAAACTCAGTTTAAGACAAACAGTTGGCATGGCAACCATCCACTGACAATAAAGGCCATGCTCTTATTTGCAGGAGGGGCGGGGAGGAAGGGGGGAGGAGAGGAACGCCCCCCCCCCCCCCCCCCCCCGGGCACCCGGGCAAACTCAAAAAAAGTTATCGTCGATAAAGGCGAATGGGTCCCGTAATTTCTTCAAACAGCATTTGTCAAAGGTAATTTTATGAAAGATTTCGTGGTTTCCGTGTCCTTTGTCGTGTTTATCGAGGTGGTGTGGTTGGTGTTATGCATAGTTTTCCACATTTTGACATTTCAAGAGAACCCCAACCCAACACGGGGGAATAAGGGGAGGTTGGAGTTGGACAGTGCAATTTTATTTTATTTTGTAAAAAATGCTTAATGCGATTCTTATAAAAGTATTTATATGAAACTTCATACAATTAGAAAAATATTCTTTTAGAATGTAAAGGTTTGCCCATTTCGTCGATAGGCGCTCTAGACAGTCATGTGTGGTCTGCTTGTGTTTTGAAATTAGAATTTTCTTGACATCTTCGTTTGAGTACAGTTACTCCATTACCGCGTGATATGAGTCCTATGCCATCATCATCACCATCGGGTTGATGACTTAAGTATACTCCAAAGTGCACATTGTGCTGGTTAATCTTAACCAGAGTACGAAGAGGTTCGTTTGTTCTTAGACCAGTTGCCTGATCAACACACACGACCCCACATCTTGTGCAGGGCCCATCAACCTTTGATGGAAAGGATCAGTTTTAATAATTGTGCAAAATATAAAAATAGTTGAACACATTTGTGCCAGAACATTGATCTGAACTACTTACAGTGAAACGTTGCGATCCAATTTTTATTTCTATCCAATCTTTTTCTGCAAATGGAGGTATTTCTCCACCCAAAACTAAATTAGCACGAAAACGATCAACTAGTCCCACCTGGAAAATATAAATGAAAAATTAATTCAATTGATTGATATGGTCGTCACCACCTAAAAATTTTATGGATATTTGACATACCTTTTCACACTCAGTAGGATCAATTTGATCCCCTAGCCATGACACACTTTCCTCACTGACCATAAGAAATTGTGCCTTGTTAGAAAGTGCAAGGGCCTTTTTGAAATCTATTACAAAGAAAAAAATCGTAGTCTTAATTTTTTTGTAGTTCACAATTGTATTTGACTCCTTTTTCCCTTCTTTTTTTTTGGTTTTGATTGGGAAAAACATTATTTTACCTTTTCCAGATCTTCCATCTTTTTTTAGCTGGCGTACTAATCTAATACCGTGTCTCCCCAAGTTGGAAGATAGCCATTTAGCCACTTCATCCCCGCAGTCAATTCCATCTATTCTATCTCCACAGACTTTACTTTGGCACAGTGATCCATTCACTTTCTCATTATTATTTGTCTCATCAAGTGGTACTGATACTGAACTCGACTCACCTAGGTAACATTGATTAATTTTGTGTGAAAGCAACCTATAAAGTATTTAATTTATGATAAAATATTTAGATGTCTTACCAGAAAAATGTAGGTGTAACAATTTATTGTTCAAATCAACATTAGGGCGGATGAGTGCCAGGCGTGGTTCTAGTGTTTGGGTCAAAGCTGTGCCTGCAGCTGACACTATCATCCAATTTCTATCATACATGAGCCCTCTCGGGCCAATTGGCCAGAATGTTTCAGGTTTAAAACCTCCACATGACTTAATTGGGTATAGTGCAACCTCTGTTAATGTTGCTGTGGTTGACAAAGTTATCTCCTCCACATGAGAGTCCAGCAAATTTTCTGATGCATCATGCCATTCTTCTTTTATATCATCAACAGTATTATTTGAAGGGCAATGTTCTGTGAAACATTGATACACCATGTTTAGGAAAGCATTGACATCTTCGTCTGTTGACATGTATCCAAATGAAATCCGAACAGAACCCGTTGGAACTCCATTTATTAGGTCAACTTGATCTCCGCACACATGACCTGCCTGTTTGATTACATAGATTGAGATAATTTATTTCTTTGTAAAAAGTAGTAAAAAAATATTCATTTTGAACTTTGAAAACCTTACCTCATAGTGGGACAGTACATCTATCTCTGTCAATTGCAAATGGCGTTGGCATGCACCAGGGTTACAGAAACACCCTGTACGAAGTTGTATTTTATGACTATTAGCCATGATTAATACCTGCCAGTGTAAAAATAAATTTGTTACATTAAATATCAAGAATCTCAAAATCGATTTCTTCTATAAATACCTTTCTATATCCAACATATTTTCCATCTGGTTGTAGTAAATTAAAATTGACAACAGGTCCTTGAATATCTGGATCTTCAAAATCATTGTCACAGTATAAAATAGCAACAGGTGTGTTATTGTAATGCTGTAAAGCCTTCAGACTGTGATGGGCACGTCTGGCTAGAGAAAAAGTATGCTGCCGAATTTTATCCATTGAACCTCCTAATCTATTCAAAGTAGTCAATCCATGACCAACAGCTACCACTGATAAAAATGGAAGTGTGCCATCCTCAAACCTAAAAAAAAGTATATAAGTAAAAATGAGTTAATATTTTATTCAACACTTGTTGTAACAAGTACTCTTCTGACTATATTGCACCTTTCATGAAGTAATTTTCTGGTCCTATGATGTCTTCTAGCACTCAATGCAATCAGAACAGTCCCTCCACCGTAATATTTTTTCTGGGACAGCAAATGGCTGCTTTCATTTTTCACTAACAAAGCCCCAAGTCCAGTTGGATAGCCAAATATTTTATAAAATGAAAGAGTGACAAAGTCTGGCTTACAAGTAGACAAATCTAATTGACTTGTGGATACGAGGGATGCTGCATCTAGAAGACATGCCCAACTGCTTTTTGTTTGAAACGCTGTTGCAAAAATATGGCTGTATTATAATCAACCTAAAGAATTTCAAAAATACAAGAAACAACATGGAACATGGATCAACAACATACTGCTGTTCAATATCCCAGCCTGACACATGTCCACCCACCCAAGGGGTGTTTTGGCTCCTGAAAAGTTGCATTGTCCTGGTAGAACAAGTAGAGAATTCCCAACTTCCTTGTCACAGTTTTCTTTGGCAATATTGTTGATTGTGGAGCCAAATATTTTATTTAATACTCTTTGTGGAAGACATTCTATGGCTAAGCTTTTATCAGCCACAATTTCTCGCATACCAAGAACAGATGTGTGGTTCTCTTGTGCATAGGCAAAGATTCCTTTGTTATTTTCTGAAATGATCGATGTTTGTTGAATATTCCATAATTACACTCCATTTTAAATATCAAATCTATAAAAGAAATCTTACCAGCTCCAAAGTTGAAACTTTCTGCAACTAATTTTAAAGAGGAGGTTGTTCCAGAAGTAAAAATGAGATCATATTCATCCATGTTTGTGTTGAATAAATTCAAGACCCTAAAAGATATGATTTTTTATCTAATTACGATCTATTACGTCAAAACGTTAATTTCACATCTTTTTAGTTTTTACCTGATACGTATTTGATCAACAATATCTTCTGTCAGCTTACTTAAAGTGTTTAAGGAGTGAGGATTCCCATACACTGAACTACAAAGATCTTGCATGATATCTTTCATCTGCTGTTCTGAATAGAGAGTGGCGCCAGCATGGTCCAAATATGAAATACCTGAAAATGTAGATGAAAAATAAGTAGAATTTCAATTAAGATGATTTGAATTTGCAAATTTACTGCTGATGAATGAAAATAATTAGAGTGTATTTCAAAAAGCATAAGGAGGCTGTTTCTATTAAGGTGTTCATGTAATAGAAATTAGTTAACACATGAGTGAACAATCTGTTTGTTATATAATCTTATAGGGAGATGAGGTTTTTATATGATTTAAATACGAATGATACCTTTTAAACGGCTGAATTCGTCAGACACCTCCATCATGCTCGTTGTCAGAAGTGATGGATTTTTAATGTTGATTCCTCGAAAGATGCAAATATTTTTGCAAATCAGCTGATTCTTGTCTTAACTTCCACAACACCGAACTGAGCGCCGAACCGGTGGACAGGTCGTTTAGTCCTCTCTACATCCGCTCTGTGATGTTCACGGTTCACGTAGAGCCCATCGAGAACAAGTGGATGACAAGACTTTGTGCAGTTTGCGACAAGGTCCTCTTGCGAGATGAAGAGTTTAAAAGACGTTCTTATCAGCATCTCAGCCGAAAGCAACACGTAAACATCACTCGCGGGGCGCACTATGTTGTGAATGAAAGTAGATCGGGGCTCCGCCTCCTCCCCCCTTCCCCTCTCGCAGGAGCGCCCCTTGTGACGTCGACGTGGTGTCCGTGTCGTCGTCCGTGATCACTCAGTCCAAGTTTCGGTTCCTTGTGGATCCCTCCATTTTGAATCTGAAACGTACTTGTATTTGACTGCTCCAAGTCCATTTATACCTGCTTGGAACATTTGACTTCACAACCTCCTCCTCCGCAACCTCCTCCTCCATTCCTTGAGTTTATTTTTCCTGGACCTGCCCATCTTTTCCTCATTTCATCAAGGTATGTTCTCTGCTTCCTTTTGATCCACTTGTTTATTTGTTCCCCAACCTTTGCCACTTGTTCCACCTAGGCAAAACATCTCGATTCATAGTGGTCTCTATGTTTATGATCTCATTTTATTGTGCATTTTCCTTACATTTGCGCTCTACTTTGTATGTGAATCTTGAAAATGCCGACTATGCCGTTAAAATTTTACACGTATACACGTTACTGATAAGATAAAGGTAAAAATAATATTTTTCTTCACTAGTGTTCATGGTTTATCCGAGCATTACCGACAATTTAGTTTTCGTTTAAATTTCTGGAAGCGGAATTCTGTTTACCTGTCAGTGTCAAAAGACTTAAAAAGGATGATTTATCATAATACGGACTCAATCCCTTGCCGGCGACCATGAAGGGATTTACTCGATTTGCTTCAATTTTCGTTCAACAAGTTCCAGCGTCTGCTTTTTACATGTCAATTGTTTAAAACAATTTGCTCTTAGATCTCATTGCTGGAAGTTAAAAGCATAGTTTTGGATCAAGTGGTTTTTGGTTGAATGCCTATGTTTAACCTTCCTTTCCTTCAGGGTAGAAGATCCTGGCTCCAACCCTCTTTGCCCTTTTTTATTTCTCTCCTGGTTTAAATTTTTAAGTTGGTCACTGATTTTATCCTCTTATACCCTGTCTTCCATACTCTTTTTATTTTCATCCACCATTCCCATCCTTTTTGTCAGTCTTCCACACCTGTTGTCACATAACCTCCTTACCAACCTAATTTCAGTTTCATCCACATGAAATGCTTCCAAACATTCATACCCGCACTATACAGCAAATAAAGCTTGATATTCAAGGACGCCTACCTTTATTTTACCTGAGACACACATGGTCATGAAAGTCTTTGGTTTCACCACACTATGTTCCAACTCATATTTAAAACCAGGAATCACGCAAGTCAAGGCCCTCATCGAAGGATGAAGTAAGTCTTCCTATTTTTTGCTTTTATATCATCTAAAGCTGTCAGGTTATGTCTCTTCTAGGAAACTGATGATAATCAGGAGCTGTTGACATTTTCTTCTTTCTACGTTGATCTTTCTTCTCTACTCTCTCACTCAGTTGACTTAAAATCATTTATATGCACTATTGTTAGTTATGGGTCGTAAAGATCCACTTCAGATGTTCATGTTATTTAAAAGGATTCTTACTTTACCAGTCTACTTCTAGTACTATGATTACAATAACTTGTAATGGCTCATTTTGCTTTAGTTATGTTTGGAAAGGTGTCACATCTTCCTTTTTCCTAGCAAAACTTTAAAATATAAATACAAGAAAGTCTTGTATGTAATGTGGGCAAAGATGGTTGCAACCAGGTTCTTCATGGAAGGCAATGTAAGTCAAATATCAAGATTCAGATAAGTGTATGATGTAAATTATTCCATTTGTGTCAATGACACATGAATGTGCTTCTAGCTGCAGAATTGTAGCTTTGTACAATTTCATGCCCTCTTGGCTGCGAGTGAATGCTTAATTGCTTTTACGAGCAGATTGTCTATTACTGTGTTTGGTTGTGGTACTAAGTATTTGGTTGTCTTAGTGAGCGATGCTATGGTACCGTAGATCGGGCTGTTATGCTGCCCCGAAGCTGGCTGTAGCAATGAAATGAGTGAGCAGCTATTTAAAAACTACCATGTGTATTTACTGTCATTCCCTGCATTGTCAGGGTATTTGTTGCATTTGCCGGCTGCAACCCTTTCTATCTCTCTCGTAGTCTTATGCTGATTACACCAGCAAATCTTTCGTTGTAACCATCTCATTCCTTTCTTTCCGTTTGTTTCATTTTTCTTCTCGTAGATTATTAGAGCGGCTTAGCCAGGACCGGGACGGATGCGCTTAGGGGGGAAGTAGAGTGTACAGAAGGGGGGGGGGGGCTTGCTCTTACGTCCCTTCACCTCCCCCTCCCCCTCCCCCTCCCCGTGCATGTGCCGTGCAGCGGGAGCGCCCGAGAGGGGAGGACATGCCGTGCTATTCTAGTATGGAATGTGTTGACACTGGGCCTGCTGCACCACCGTGTGCTCCAGACCCCCTTCCTCCCTTTCTTGGCTCTCCATTCTCGCTGTCCCCGGTAGCTTCAAAAGACCCGCATGCAAAATTTAAAAGGTTCGTGTCGAGGAGGAGGGGGGGGATAGGGAAGTCCCTTTCTGAGCAGAGGGTGAGTCGAGACCGTCGAGACGCCCGAGCGCGGTCAGCTGCACTAAAAAAAACGTGCTTTTGATAATAGTGCATTGCACACTTGATTTTTCGTGTCCTGGAGTGGAGTCATTCAATGATAATGCGCTTGTTTTAAGACAATTTGTAATTGAAGTAGTCCCAATGCTCTTGAAACAAGCACATTGCACTTGACTAAATCAAGTACACGCGCTTCTGGGTGTGCTCTGCACGATTGCCCTGGCGCTGGCAATGCTTGGCCTGCTCCAGTGCGCCTCCCGGTCCTATAGGCTCTACCCCCTGCCGACAGGGACCGCGAGCGCCCGCTCGGCGAGACACCGTGCCGACGCCCCCCCCTCCCCCCTCCTCTCCCGGGCTCTGTCTGCTGTGTTTACGTTTGTCGGACACACGCCCACGCCCACTGTTTTCCTTTGGACGGCGGTGTTGATGCACCTGGGTCCCCAGAGGACACTCAGAGAGGGTCTCGCCTGGACCGCGACCACGCCCGCCTGCCTGGGCCACTTGTTGGCCTTGGCCAGCGCGACCAGGGTTGGGGTGGGTCGTGCCGTGACCGCGTCCTCACGCTCACGCGCGCAGCAGGGCTGGGGTGGGGGCGAAGGCACGCGCAGTTTTTACCAAGAGGTTTCCTCTGGTGGTTCTGGTGGGGTATTAGCTGGCAAAGGGCGTTCCTCCGAGGGTACGCGTAACCATCTATGTGTCGCTAGGTAAAGTTAGGCACAAATTACCACGGATACTACACCTGTGGGTGATGGGCTGGCATCAACGCCTGCCCCCTAGTCCACTTACGTGTACACCTCTGTGCTGAGGGGTTGCCCGGTAGGTAGCCCACAAAACCTTTGCATTCATGGTAAATTTGCCTGCTCTACTTAATTTGCTGTCTGGTACAAAATTGTAACGTGCCCCATCGCACCATCGCCTGTTTAATTTAGACAGTTTAGATGGATCTGTGGGGATGTATTGTGCTGTCCTGGTTCACACTAAGCCTCTGCCTCTGTGGCGGTGGTAGTCCTAAAACAGGGCTCCCTAGTTTACTTCGTTATTGTGTTCTGCAAAGTCGATCCGATCCGTCGCGCGGACGTCGGATGCGGAATTTGCTTCCCCTTTTCGCTGTTTTATTTTCCAAAGAGGTGCGGTAGGATTGAGACGTGCACCGGAATGCCTCTGGCATTTACTTTATTTCTGGGCAGGAAGTGGCGACTCCCCCTCCCCCTTTTTCTCTCACGCATCCCCTTTTCTCCCTCTCGTTTTCTTTTTTTCTCTCTCCATTTTCTCTCCTATTTTTACGATTTCTTTTGTTAAAGAGAGCTCTCCTTCTCTCTCTAAAAAAAAAGAAAGAAAAATAAGTAGAAGTATGCGTGCAACCCCGAGGGGGCACAAAACCCCGCGGCATTGTGCTGTTGAGCTTGTGTGTGTGTGTGTGTGTGGGGGGGGGGGGGGTACTTGGCGCCCGCGGACTATTGCCGAGGTGAGTGAGTACGCCCGGCTGGTTGGTTGAAAAGAGCAAGGCGCTCTGTTGTAGAGAACTGCCTTAGTCGCGCACAGCCTGGTGGGCTTGAGTCTCTCTCTCTCGTGCACACACACATACACACACCTTAGGGCGCGCGAGTACCCCCCCCCCCCCCCCCCCCCCTCTTTTCCCCCGAAGCCATACGCCGGCAGGGCCCAGTGGAGGACATGCGAGGCCGTGCTGCCGTATTTTGCTGTAGTGCCGCACCGCCGACTTCTCACTTCGCTCTAATTCTCAAAAGCCAGGGCAACCGTGAAAAGGGTTGAAGAAATAATACTAATAACGCTTTACTATTCAACGGGACGTTTGGATTCTTGCTAGTTAATTGCTGGTCGATACTGGGTGCTTGTAATTTTGCAATTTCAAATTGTAATTTCACTACATGCATTTTGTAAAATTTTCCCTGTAACCCATTTCTAGTTTTCTCACCGTGCATTTTAGAGGCTGTCTCGGGCTGTCTCCTCCGTCCAGCGTGGGCCGGCTGGTCTAGAGTCTGGTCCGTCCGCGCGCCGTGCGGGTCGGCTCTCCCGCCGGCCGGCGGCGTGCGGCGGGCGTGCCCACCCGCAGGGGCGCCCCACCGGCCGGGCCCCACTGGCCGGGCCCCACCCGGGCCCCACCACCCCGCCCCAGCCCTGTCCGATTGCTACACTGGCGGGCGGGGCGGGGTGGGAGCCGTTGCGGGTTGGGCCGGGGCGTGCAGCCGGGATAATGGAGCTATTGAAGCTGCTTTGCGCAAGGCTGCCCGGTCCGGTTCGGCCAGCCCATGGCCCACCGCGCCCGGCCCGCTCTCGGAGCGGAGCCGACAGAGCACACGCTGCGCGAGGCCGAAATTGTTTGTTGTTGAGAAAGAGAGAGGAAACCCACGAGATGATGATGTATACGGGGGTGCATGTCCGCGGGAGACGGGGCGAGGACACACGTAGGCAGGCCGTCGTGGTCCTGGCGAGCAGTGTCTGCCGACGTCAGCCGACATGCCTGCCTGCCGTGTGCTGCTGCTCGGTAGGGCTTCCTGGCATGGAGGGGGCTTCCCTTCGGGGGATAATCCGCCCGCCCCGTTCCGCCCCACTCCGTTCTCCGCCCGCCCACGCCAGGCCAGGGCGCCTTCGCGCCGTACCGTCGATCACTGCGAGGTGGTCCGACACTTTCCATATAAATTATTTTGACACTCAATGATTCTGCTGCCTCGGCTGCAGGTCGGGGCCGGCGGCTCGCCCCCTGCTTCCGCTCTTTCCGTCATAGTGTTGTCTCCATCCCCTTCCCCCTTCGTATATTCTGTGACTGTGATCAT